TTGATTACAGAACCAGAAGAAGTCAGTTTGAGTTTGAGTTTAGACACACATACAGAACAAACTCCTGTTAAGGATAACGATATGAATAAAAAGCAAATCCAAATGAGCGACGAAACCGCACATAACAGTGCCATCAGTATTATCGATGCGCTCAAGATATCGGTAAATAAATAAAAACACATCTTATGTATTATTTTGACTTTTATGTAAAAGTTATTAATAATAACTTATTATAGATAAATCTTAATATAGAAACTAATTTTTGTATTTGTTTCCAAAGGGAGTCATAGAATTCTCCATTTGTCTATTCTTCGCCAAACTGGTCAGCTATACATTCCTCGATTGGTTACCATTATATATATCGCAGACAAACCCCGGTATTTCCAGTTCTCAATCCGCATATATGACCATATTCTTCGACTTGGGAGGCATTGTTGGGGGCATTTCGGCCGGTTATTTGGCCGATAAGACCGGTGCCAGTGCTCTGTCGTGTATCGTTATGCTTATATTTGCCATCCCATCCGTAAGCAATGTTATAATGACAATCATAAACATTTTAATTGCAAGTTTTGTAATTGTAATCTTATAGTTGGGAATTTATTATCTATTTGGTAACCAATCGATGGCAATGAACGAAGCGCTGCAATTCATAGCCGGTATATTTGTGAACGCGCCGTACGCTCTGATCACGACCGCAGTGTCGGCCGAATTGGGCTCAAAAGTGCCTTCAAAGTCGGCGATGGCCACCGTCTCGGCCATCATTGACGCCACCGGTAGTATCGGTTCAGCGATCGGACCCTCTTTGGCAGGCGTTGTGTCTGAGATTGGATGGGAGTATGTGTTTATTGTGGTAATGATCGCCGATTTGTGCGCTTTGTTGTCTATATTAAGGATTGGATTCAATGATTGCAAACGATTGATATTCATTTGGAGGACAAAAAAGTCGAGAAATAATTCCGCAAATCAGGAAATTATTTCAGTCACGACTTATTAAGTTTATTGATTTATACGGTTGTATATATGGTGTAAATTTTGTAACTCATTTGTAATTATATTTTCGCTCATAAAATGTACATGCTAAAATGTAAATGTAATATTAATTTACTTGTATATACTTTACTTATTGTTTATCAAATTATTCCTATAAATATTCCTATATTTTATTAATATTTATTCTAACTTTACTTACATTTTATTGTATAAGCAAAGTATTCTGTACCTATAGCAGTATTACAACTACATTGTATTATTTGTATTAAAGTTATAGTACTTAAATAATTTAACATTTTATAATTATTTTTATAATATCTTGCAATTATAATAATTGAACACAATTTATACCGTAAATAATTCTATTATCTATATTATGTACATATTATCAATTTAAAAGATATAATTTATTTATCAAATAATAAAATTTAATTTAATGAATTAAAACTTTATTGTATTAATATATTTGTGTAAATAATAGTTTCAAACTAAAACAATAATTGATCCAAAAAAGCATTCATCAGGGAAGAATTCATAGCTGTCTAACTATTTAAAAAATGTGTAACTAATTCAATACTATTTATATACGCCAGTTATATTTATTCACATTGTTCAATTTAAATTCAAGTTAAACGATTTATTACAATATAAACAAGCGTAATTTATATTTTCTAATTACTATTACTATAATAATTTACATACAAAGTAATAGTCAAACAATATATCCTTGAATTAATTGTACTCTAAAATAAAAACGATAAGATATCTCACAAAACATTGACTTTCAGACTCTTATCACAGACTTTACAGATATTTACAATTTTTGTGAAATTGATTTTCCATAATAATCATCAATTAATTTGCGTTTTTATAAATTTGTATTTAATTTTGTGAATAAATTATAACTTAAAGATCACATGAAATGAATAATAAAGTAAACACCGATTTAGTAAATGAAACGACCAGTTCATCGGGCGATTGTGTCTCGACTCTGAACTCAAGTGAACTGACTCTCGGCGACCGACAGACAAACCAACAAATACTCATTCAAAGACTTATTGACGGTCAGCTCTACACTCCAACAGACGTCGATTACATGGATCTGTTGACTAACGAAGACATCGACGAATTGGTCAAATTTCTAATCGCACACAAAGACGTTGGACATGAAGTGATCAAGAGTTTGGTCTACACTTACCGCGAGTTTCTGTCCATTAGACTCAATTCACAGGAATTTTGGACACAATTCCTGTTGCGTCCGGACTTCAAGCCCGAAGACTATAAGGAAAGGCACCAAAACTCGTGCCGATTGAGAGCACTGACAGAATTTCAATATAAATTATCACTCATTAGACTCGAAGAGATTACATCACCGAAGGGTGTGATTGAGGTCAGCGTCCAATCATTGCCCCATCACTTGAGAACCACATCCGTCGAGAAGACAAAGTCGACGCCAAATAATTAACTGAAATATTTTGTATTTTTTACATGAGAGCAAATTAAGCCATGATTTGTACAATTAGCTGTAAATTAAGGTGAAATGTTATAACAGTTCTTTCAATTGATATTTTAATAACATTTCAAATAGTATTAAATAGTAAACATTCTTAATCTTGATTAATATTTTAATTGATTAAATGTATTATAACTTTGTTGATTTTCATTAATTTTATCAATTTAATAACAACCTTAGTAACAGTTTATGTATTAATGTTTAATAATAGTAATAAGTTAATACCTAGATTTGGATGTATTTGATTATTACAGTATCTTAGAGTCCCTCCTATTCTTAACATTTAATTTTATCGTTTATTAATTAAGAATAACCTGAAAATACGTTAACAAATTTAATCATTAGTTAATACTTAATCCAAAAACAATTTATCTCAATATAACAAAGAAAATGAAAATAAATCAAATTCTTAATGACATATAAAGACATTAATATTAATTTAATACTTATTAAGTGTTGGATTAATTAAATAAACTACATTATATAAAATTATGTTATATTAACAACAATAATAGAAAAATATAAATATTTATAATGAAGTTATCGCTCGGATATGTGTTAACAGAATATATAAGTAATAAATTTAGATTAAATAAACTAAAATGTTATCAAATGCTAGTATTGGTGATGACATTCATGGTCTACTGTGCGGCACATTTGGCCCGAAAACCCATTTCTATAGTTAAATCTCAATTGCATTCAAAGAACTGCACGGAATCGTCGGTCAAACGGCTAGACGTGTCTCATTTGGACCCTAATTGGTGCGATTGGTCACCATTTGACACACAAAATGCGGATCAGTTACTCGGATGGCTGGACACCAGCTTCTTGGCCTCGTATGCGGTGTTTATGTTTGTGTCGGGTTATGTGGCCGAGAGGTCTAACCTGCGATGGTTTCTGGCCATAAGTCTCGGTCTGTGCGGCGTTTTGTCAATTCTGGCCGGACTTCCCTTTTCGCTACAAATCCACGCCTATTACTACTTTATTATCGTTCAAGTGATCACTGGTATAGTGCAGACCAGCGCGTGGCCAGCGGTGGTCACTGCAGTCGGAAATTGGTTCGGCGACTCCAAGAAAGGACTCCTATTTGGCATTTGGGGCTTTCACACCACTCTCGGCAATATTCTCGGCGCTCTTATCGCAGGTTTCAATGTTTTACCAATTATTAAAATCATATTTAACTCGTTTATTAATTGAATTAAACCACCAGGCGCGTTTGTCGAGTACAATTGGGGCCTATCATTTATAGTGCCCGGTATTATAGCCATCGCTGTAGCCGTTGTATGTTTTCTCTTCTTGATTCCTTGTAAGACATTTTTGTGACCAATTCTTTGTGTTTTCATATATTGTTTACTAAATTATGCGAAACTAAACTTCACTCAAAGGCCCACAAGACGTTGGCCTCTCGGCTGATGCCAACGACTCCCACAATATTGAATCCAATAATACTAATGGCGAAGAAATTGTCACAATTGATGATAATGTGGACAATACGGCCATTTCATTCTTCGGCGCCCTTTTGCTACCGGTTTGTTACAACTTTTTAACCACAAACACAATTGATATGTAATGATTAAAAATATACTTTTACCACATTGTCATACAGGGAGTGATTGAGTACTCGGTCTGTCTATTCTTTTCAAAACTGGTCACTTATACCTTCATGTATTGGTTACCCCTGTATATCAATAATTCGAGTTTGTTTTACAATTCGCCCATTATTTATCTCATTACTAATCTACGTTATTTACTCGCAGTCAAAGTGTCTCCATCACAATCTGCATACCTGTCCATATCGTTTGACATCGGGGGTACAGTCGGTGCAATACTTGCCGGTTATATGGCTGACGTCACTAACGCCAGTGCCATCACATGTATTGTATTCATAATTCTCACCATTCCTTCGGTCAGTACTTCAAATGCATTGTTAAACACAGACAACAATTATTTAGTATTAAATTTTAATCAAACAGTTATTGTTTTATTACTATTGGGGATCCGTATCGATGGTATCCAATGAATGTCTGCAATTCATAGCGGGTCTGTTCGTGAACGGGCCCTACAATCTCATCACAACAGCCGTATCCGCAGATCTGGCCATCAATATCAAGTCGAAGAGCGCTTTGGCCACCGTTTCGGCCATTATAGACGGCACCGGCTCTATAGGGGCTGCCGTCGGACCCGCTATAGCCGGTTATGTGGAGGGCTTCGGGTGGGGGTATGTTTTCTATATGGTTGTCGTCGCAAACATTTTCGCATTACTATCGCTATTAAGGCTCGGCTTTAATGAATACAAAACTATTTATAAGCAACGAAAAGGCAAACAGAATAATAGTATTTAATAGTAAATTATAATTAATTTTATCACTTATTTTTGTTCAAATCAATAACTCTTCATATATTTTATATTAAAAATAGTTTGACTAAAATTATGTTTAAATCACTTTTAAGTGAAAACTTTCATTTCGGTGTCAATTCTTGCTATTATTCTGTGTGTCTCTCATATCATAAGCACTGTTTTCAATGACACCAGAATCTGGGCTAACAATGAGTGCCACTGTATTTGTATATACAGTGTGTATAACAACAGTACACTCTGTACTACACTATCGATAACTGTATTCATAAAACATAAAACAAATTCAAGTAATTTATACTCAGTTTTGAGATAAAGTGAACCAAAGTATAGACATTTCACTGCAAAAACCTAACACTCAATCAAATCAAACGCAAACCAATCAAAGTCTCCTCCCATTGGCTGAAAGGCAACGCATAGTCACGTGATCTCAATGTTTATATCCCTTTGCCATCCATTCAGTCATTCAATCGCTTAATACTGTAGTCTTAAGGGATGTCTTCAGAGGTGTCTTCAGACATATTGATGGATCAAATCCAACACAATTTGGATGACATCAGGCGTCGTGTGTCGGAAGCGGTCGCCCGAAGAGCTGAGGCCACGGGTGGGGGCGAGAAGTCGGTCAAACTGGTGGCCGCCTCGAAGACACAGCCGCCCGAGAAGATAGTGGAGGCCTACCGGTGCGGACAGCGGGTCTTCGGCGAGAACTACATCCAAGAGTTGTGCGCCAAGAGTGCGGACCCGTTGATTGTGGCCGAGTGTCCGCACATCGAGTGGCGTCTCATTGGCCACATTCAGACCAATAAAATCAACCAATTGTTACGAGTGGACAGATTGACGGCCGTAGAGACCATCGATTCGCCCAAATTGGCTCAGAGTCTGGAGAAGGCGTTGTCTGTGCGCAACCGTACGCTGGAAGTGATGGTTCAGATCAACTCCGGCGACGAAGACGTGAAGACGGGCTGCCATTTCACCGAAGCCGAGGCGTTGGCGCGACTCATACGCGCCGACTGTCCGCACCTGAAGCTGACGGGACTGATGACTGTCGGCCGCTTCGGCCACGACTGGAGCGCTGGACCTAATCCTGATTTCTTGGCGTTTGTCGGCAATCATCGGTCCATTTGCGAGGGTCTGGCTATTAGTGAGAGTTCTCTTGAGCTTAGCTTCGGAATGACGGCTGACTTCGAAGAGGCGATCGGTTTGGGCAGCGATGAGGTACGGGTGGGAACCGCACTCTTCGGCGAACGTAAGTATCCCATTGGTGTCAAACACTACA